ATATATGATGAATGATTATTATGAAGCAATTTAGTATTTTGAGAAAGCTTTGAACATCAGACCTTAACATTTATTATCTTTGTGGGCTAAAAGTAAATTTAATTCTATTAATTCAAGTTGATTGCCTATTAATATAGGAATATGAAATTCTAGAATAAAAATGATGAAACAAAATATGTAGGCAATCAAATAGTATGATTAAGTATTATTTATTAATCCTTATCTTATCTTTATACAGTAAAGGTATAATTTATTCTAATAAACAAAGGAGGATGCTTAGCAGAAATGAGTTAATTAGACTAGGCAATTGAATGCTATGAAAAAGCATTAAGAATTAATCCATATTATGTTGATGCATTGTGTGGGAAAAGTAAATACTGTTTTATTAATGAAAGGTGAATGCTTAAAAATGATGAATAAATACTAATAGTCACCTGAGTTGTATTAAAAAGCATTGAGCATCAATCCATTACATATACCATCATTATGGGGAACAGATATATATAATTCAAATTCCATTAGGTGATTGTCTAAAAATGAGCAATAAATTGAAATAAGGACTTGAGTATTATGAAAAAGCATTAAATATTAATCCAAAACATTTATTGTCTTTATGGGGCAAGAGTTAGAAAATTCAATTAAATAAGGTGAATGTTTAAAGATGATGAATCAAACTGAAGAGGCACTTAAATGGTATGATAAAGCATTAACTATCAATCAGTAGGATGTTTTGTCTTTATGGGAAACTGGCAAAATATTATTCAAAAAATCATAGGCGATTGTCGATAATAATTTGATTTAACTAATAAATAAAAATAAAGAATGAATATGAATAAGCACTTCCATGGTTTCATAAAGCACTTAAAATTAACCCAATACATAATTTATCTTTATTGGGAATAGGTAAGCATAACTTAATAAATCATATGTGAATGTTTATATAATTTGAAATAAATATTAGGAAATAAAGATGATGAATCGATTCGAAGAGGCGCTTGAATGGTATGACAAATTATTGGTCATCAATCCATAACATACTGATTCGTTATATGGGAAAAGTAAATTTATAAGAATTAATCAAAGGTGAATGTTTAAAAATGATGAATCAGTATGAATTATCTCTTAAATTTTATGATAAAAGCTTAAGCATCAACTAGAATCATTTATTAACAATATGGGGGAGAGATAGTTTCTATTTTCAATTAAAAAGGTGATTGCCTAAAAATGATGTATCGATTTGAATAAGTTATAGAATGGTATGATAGAGCATTGATTATCAATCCATTACATGGGCTTTCTTTATGGGGAAAAGGTAAATTAAATTAGATAAATGAAAAGTGAATGCTTATCAATTTCTTATGGAATGTTTAAAATAAAAATGATGAAGCACTTTAACTAAGCTCTAAAACAGTATGATGAAGCACTGAACATTAACCCTCAAGATGTCTAATCTTTATGGGGAAGAAGTAAATATAATTAATTGTTTTAAGGTGACTGTTTACAAATAATGAATTAATTTGAATTGGCATTTGAGTTTGAGTTTTTGATAAAGCATTAATCATAGACCCAGAACATATATTATCTTTATATGGTAAAGGTACAATTTTTTATTATTTTAGCTTAATGTGCATATGCNTATAATTTATTCTAATAAACAAAGGAGGATGCTTAGCAGAAATGAGTTAATTAGACTAGGCAATTGAATGCTATGAAAAAGCATTAAGAATTAATCCATATTATGTTGATGCATTGTGTGGGAAAAGTAAATACTGTTTTATTAATGAAAGGTGAATGCTTATTAATAGTTTATCATTGAAAGTATTAACTAAAAATGATGAATAAATACTAATAGTCACCTGAGTTGTATTAAAAAGCATTGAGCATCAATCCATTACATATACCATCATTATGGGGAACAGATATATATAATTCAAATTCCATTAGGTGATTGTCTAAAAATGAGCAATAAATTGAAATAAGGACTTGAGTATTATGAAAAAGCATTAAATATTAATCCAAAACATTTATTGTCTTTATGGGGCAAGAGTTAGAAAATTCAATTAAATAAGGTGAATGTTTAAAGATGATGAATCAAACTGAAGAGGCACTTAAATGGTATGATAAAGCATTAACTATCAATCAGTAGGATGTTTTGTCTTTATGGGAAACTGGCAAAATATTATTCAAAAAATCATAGGCGATTGTCGATAATAATTTGATTTAACTAATAAATAAAAATAAAGAATGAATATGAATAAGCACTTCCATGGTTTCATAAAGCACTTAAAATTAACCCAATACATAATTTATCTTTATTGGGAATAGGTAAGCATAACTTAATAAATCATATGTGAATGTTTATATAATTTGAAATAAATATTAGGAAATAAAGATGATGAATCGATTCGAAGAGGCGCTTGAATGGTATGACAAATTATTGGTCATCAATCCATAACATACTGATTCGTTATATGGGAAAAGTAAATTTATAAGAATTAATCAAAGGTGAATGTTTAAAAATGATGAATCAGTATGAATTATCTCTTAAATTTTATGATAAAAGCTTAAGCATCAACTAGAATCATTTATTAACAATATGGGGGAGAGATAGTTTCTATTTTCAATTAAAAAGGTGATTGCCTAAAAATGATGTATCGATTTGAATAAGTTATAGAATGGTATGATAGAGCATTGATTATCAATCCATTACATGGGCTTTCTTTATGGGGAAAAGGTAAATTAAATTAGATAAATGAAAAGTGAATGCTTATCAATTTCTTATGGAATGTTTAAAATAAAAATGATGAAGCACTTTAACTAAGCTCTAAAACAGTATGATGAAGCACTGAACATTAACCCTCAAGATGTCTAATCTTTATGGGGAAGAAGTAAATATAATTAATTGTTTTAAGGTGACTGTTTACAAATAATGAATTAATTTGAATTGGCATTTGAGTTTGAGTTTTTGATAAAGCATTAATCATAGACCCAGAACATATATTATCTTTATATGGTAAAGGTACAATTTTTTATTATTTTAGCTTAATGTGCATATGCCCTTGGTCATTATGAAAAAGCAAATTCATTTCTAGTGAAGGCAGATTAAATTAAGCCTAATTAATCTTAAATTTTAGATTTATTAAGTAATTTATAGAGGCTAAATTAGAATTATGTAAAAATTAATTGAATCCTTGAAAAACTTAATATTATAATTTTCATCATAATTTATTAATCAAATTATAATTCTTAAAAATACTTCCATATTGTAATTTTTTATTTTTATGATCATCTTAATCTAATTGAAGTAGTATTTTATATTTAAAGTAATATTTCAATTCTCATACTACAACTAGTAATCACTATTTAAATATAAAAATGGCAAATGAGAGACTGATAAATATAATTTCTCCATACGTATTTAATATCAGAAATTTTAGGTTGTTAGTTACAAATTAATTTATCAATTATTTAGATGATCTATCGACTGACTAAGTAAGTTTCAGGAATAGTGATTAAAACTCATTTTGATATGATTTTGTAATAAATTTTTTTGTATAAATATGGTATTGAATACAGATAACTTTTTCAACAATCAAGAAACAGATGATATTGAAAGCAAAAAACAATTAGTCTAATATTCTAATATAAATGAAAATTTAGGAGCAGGTTTTTTTCAAAATTTTAAATTATTTAAACACTATATTATTAAATTTAAGTATTTGAATAATTAAAATATTGAAAATCTTTAAAATCCTCTTTGATATTCAAAAGAAAAAGATAGATAAACTTATTTAATGGTTTTAATTTATGTGTAAATCTGATATTAATATATGTGGACTTAATTGGATAATTTTATAACTAGCAAATAGTGAAGGAAGTAATAATTTGATATTAACTGTTTATTAAATTATGTTTTAGCCTCTCTTTGATAAATTTTTTACATTTTTGTCTAAAAATATAATAAATAATTAATCAACCTTGATGGAATTGTTCCTTTTAAATATTATATCTCTTATGATCTATCATCCACAGATAATTAATTCTGTTATTGGTATTTCTCAAAGAAGATAAGTTTACTAATAATTCCACCTGTTAAATATTTGTTGCTTCTAAAACTTAATAATTTGATCTGGATTATTTAAAATAAATCATAGTTCATTGAAAAATTAGGTAAAATTTTAACATTTAGAAACCATAAATATGCTTGATGAAAATTGCTTAAACCATCTTAAATACCTCATCTTTTTAAATAACTCTATAGATTTATTAATGTCAAAGATTAACGAACTTAAAAATTCTAAAATATGCACTTAGCCTTAAATTTGAAAGGAACTTAGTAGTCTTTTACTTATAGATGAAAAAACGGAAGTTAATTATTCAAAAGCAATATTTGTACAAGTCAATGTTTGTATTTATTGGAAATTTATTCAATTTTAACTTAAGACCTTATAGTATTGATAAGTTTTAAATATGCCCTTAAAAATGATATTTGAGAATGCATTGCAAATAAAGTCTTCAATTGATTATCAGCCATCATGGATTATCATATAAAATTTCAAGCGAATCACATTTATTTTGCCAATCCTTTAAAATTAAAGTAATTAGAATGGAAATTTAAAAAAATAGATTCAATAATCAAGAGGTAATTTCCTAATAGATCTATTGTTATTACAATCTAGGATTCCAAATTTTTATAGTATAAATTAGATATATATTTTAATTAAAATTTATTAAAATTATTAGGTAGGAATAGAAATATATAATTTAATAATAATGAGTTTATATAATATTTTTAATAGAATTAGAAAAAGATTGAATATTAATATTAATTATGAATAAAATAAATGATACTATAATCAAATGTCCAAATTCAGAGCATATCAATGATGTAAAATTAGTATGTTTTAATGAATCTTGTAAAGCAAATAGATTATAATGCATTTAATGTATATAAAATGGAAATCATGTTTCTCATCTTTAACATTAATAAGATTTATCATTTATGTTTGACCATATTTAAAATATTGAAAAACAATGTGAAGACTTAATTATAGATTTGAATAAATAAATGGATTTGGCTTATTAATATTTCTATTTATTGATTGGAGGAATTAGATCAAAATACCAAAAATCTGAACAATAATTTTTTAACTTAGATTCTAAATGGATTCTTTCTTTGCTGAAAGTATTGGATTCAAATCATTTGAATAAAAAAACTTAATATTGATCAAATAATCTATTTAAGATTTCCAAAATTCAATTGAAAAATTATTATTTGATCTAAAATTATCTGAATTAAATTATTATCAAATATCTAATTTAGATATTAATAAATCAGAAGAATTATTTAAAATAGGTAATAAATCTATTAAATTAGGTTATAAACTATATTAGGATGATGATAATTATAAAGAAGCAATTAAAATATTGGATTAATCATTAATTTTTAATCCAAAACATTCTCTTTCGTTATGGTGTAAAGGTATGGTTATTATTTAATGTGTTAGCTGAGAGTTTAATTTATATGAATGAAAATGATTTATTATAAAGATTAATACAATGAAGCAATCATTTTGGCTGATAAAGCATTGTAAGTTGATCCAAAACATTCTTATTCATTATAATGTAAGGGTATGATGATTATTTAATGTGTTAGCGTAGAGTTTAAGGATGATTGATTAATACAGTGAAGCTATCATTTGGGCAAAGAATTGTAAATAGATCCAAAAGATTGTCTTTCATTATGTACTTAAAGTACTAATTTTTTTTTTATTTGAAGGTAACTAACTCATTACTATAAAAATTGAAATGTTTCAATTTAAGATTATTGAAAATATTTAAATAATCATCGAAGTGATTGAGTAATCTCTATAAATCAATCCAAATCACTTAGATTCATTATGGAAAAAAGGTGAAAGTTTCTTTTTAATTTATAGGTGCTTGTTTACAAGATTAGAATTAATATTAAGAAGCATTAATATTATATGAAAAAGCTTTAAAGATCATTCCAAATCATTAATGGACTAAAGACAGGAAAGGTATTATCTAAATAAAATATTTAGATGAATGTTTAAACGCTTTAAAAAAAAATGAGTATTTATTAATATATTCATAATTTATATACCTCAATCACTCATTACATTTCTTTTAATTTTTCTGAAATTATCCATTTGGCAATTTCAAAAATATTTAGTTATATCATTATAAATATTAGAAGAAACAATTCTTATGAACTTTTTCCAAAGAACTATAAACTGAATGCTTAAAACTATTAATCGTAAATATTATGGATAAGCTTTATTTAAGAGGAATTGTTAATTTGACTTCTTCACTACCTAGCCTTCTTTAATTCTTAATGATGATACAATTCATTAATATTTAATGGAAAACTAATTAGCAATATAGTCTTTTGAATTTCCATTACAAATCTAAATTTATTTTTGATTTCAATTTAAGTAAAAACATATAGATTGAAGACTGTAAATTAATTTGCTTATTTATGATGATAAATTCAATAGTTTTTAGAATATTTTATTCAGATTTTGTTCCCAAAGAGTATTTAATAAATTAGGAAGAAATTGAATTGATTTAAAAAATGAATTTGTGGCATGTGATAACAATAAGCATATTATTAAGAATTTTTAATTAAATTAAATATATATATAGGTAATAATCACTAAAATTGGAGATTTGCTAGTTTTTGAAGGAAGGGAGAACTACGTCCCTATCATGCTATGTACATCAAATGTCTCACTGTCAGACATTGTAGCAGGCCTTTTTCTGAATGAAATTATTTTTTCTGAAAAGTTCTAGAAAAAAGAGAAAAAATTCTAAATTAAACAATTTTAATTAATGATTTATTTTGGTAATTTATATAATCCTCAAAAATTTCAAAATTTCATTTTTAATCCTCACCAGGCCAACCTGAAGGAAATATTCCAGTTCCATGGCCGAGCTTCCATCTCTTATTAAATAGACACCAAAAAACATTTCAATAATCAATAATGTCTCTCTTTCTCCTCTACCCCTAGTTGACTGTCTTCTTTTCCTTACATTCTTTCCCTCTTATTTGAACTATGTAGAGAAAAGAATAATGTCTCACTCAACAGCGGAGATTAAAGCCAAATAAAGATTACAAGTTGATCTTCCTCTGTTGCTCATGTCGAACCTCAAAGGCAAATTACTTATAATAGAATTTTTGAGTGGATCAAGGGATCATTAAATCAAGAGTCTCGAATAGAAAACTCCTTTCTTCTGATGGCTGGAAGAGAAGTAAATTGTAAAAACAAAGATAATTTATTTTTAAGCCTTTATTTATTTTATTAAAATTCAAAATTTTTTTGATTAACTAGCCTTCATCAACTTATAACTAATTAATTATTCCGCAAAGGATTATTCAATTAATCCTGAGCAATGTAAGTATTTTACAATTTTATTTATAATTAAAATGAATAGAAATATTATTTATGATGGAATTCGTGTGTCTTAATACTATTCGAACTTTTTTAGTTGGATTAGATTATTCATCCAAGATATTAATATAGAATAGTAGATAACTCCTGAAAACACTTAACAAGTCTTGGTCAAAGGGCTAATAATTACACCAGTTAATCATTAATGCATTTAACATTCTTCTTTCATTAAGGTATTTGGGACTTAAATCCATCATTGGGATGATTAGGGAGAAGATAATAAATTATTAGCTTTTGTTAAAAAAACTTCTCTCAAACTCTCCTAGACTTATTTATGTTTAAGTTCTAATTCTATTGGTTTTTCCTACTAAAAAGTATAACTTCTCAATCTATTATTCACTTCTGTTAATCTCTCAAAGATTTCCTTCATTAATCATCACTAGGTTCTTACATAAATTTTACTGTCTTTATTACAAAANAAAAAAAAAAAACATTTATTGGCTATAGCAGGCCTTTTTCTGAATGAAATTATTTTTTCTGAAAAGTTCTAGAAAAAAGAGAAAAAATTCTAAATTAAACAATTTTAATTAATGATTTATTTTGGTAATTTATATAATCCTCAAAAATTTCAAAATTTCATTTTTAATCCTCACCAGGCCAACCTGAAGGAAATATTCCAGTTCCATGGCCGAGCTTCCATCTCTTATTAAATAGACACCAAAAAACATTTCAATAATCAATAATGTCTCTCTTTCTCCTCTACCCCTAGTTGACTGTCTTCTTTTCCTTACATTCTTTCCCTCTTATTTGAACTATGTAGAGAAAAGAATAATGTCTCACTCAACAGCGGAGATTAAAGCCAAATAAAGATTACAAGTTGATCTTCCTCTGTTGCTCATGTCGAACCTCAAAGGCAAATTACTTATAATAGAATTTTTGAGTGGATCAAGGGATCATTAAATCAAGAGTCTCGAATAGAAAACTCCTTTCTTCTGATGGCTGGAAGAGAAGTAAATTGTAAAAACAAAGATAATTTATTTTTAAGCCTTTATTTATTTTATTAAAATTCAAAATTTTTTTGATTAACTAGCCTTCATCAACTTATAACTAATTAATTATTCCGCAAAGGATTATTCAATTAATCCTGAGCAATGTAAGTATTTTACAATTTTATTTATAATTAAAATGAATAGAAATATTATTTATGATGGAATTCGTGTGTCTTAATACTATTCGAACTTTTTTAGTTGGATTAGATTATTCATCCAAGATATTAATATAGAATAGTAGATAACTCCTGAAAACACTTAACAAGTCTTGGTCAAAGGGCTAATAATTACACCAGTTAATCATTAATGCATTTAACATTCTTCTTTCATTAAGGTATTTGGGACTTAAATCCATCATTGGGATGATTAGGGAGAAGATAATAAATTATTAGCTTTTGTTAAAAAAACTTCTCTCAAACTCTCCTAGACTTATTTATGTTTAAGTTCTAATTCTATTGGTTTTTCCTACTAAAAAGTATAACTTCTCAATCTATTATTCACTTCTGTTAATCTCTCAAAGATTTCCTTCATTAATCATCACTAGGTTCTTACATAAATTTTACTGTCTTTATTACAAAAGCTGGTTCCTTATTTAAAATATAGAGTCTCTCATTTACTGACTATTCATTTGAACTTAAAATCTAATCCTATGCTTGTAAAAAAATTTACTTTCGTTCTTATTCATTAATTACCTTTTTCTAAGATTAGGTGATAGGAAAAGCTACTCCTTATACTTCTTCCCTTATCTAATAAGGATAAAATGATTGTCATATAATTTAACATAATTTGTTTTCTTTTGATATTTAATTTCTAGGCTAGACATTTTCGATTAGATATTTTAAATCCAACTAGTATTTCCTTCCCAACTTTTTCTTCTTAAGCTTTTATTTATGATAAACTCATCTCTCCACCTACTTGAGCAAGGATTTTGTATTAAAGTCCTGCTTAGTCAACTTCCGTTAAAGAGATTAGTTAATGGCTCTATAGGCTAACCAGAAGAATATTATTCTTATATCTCATAGGGTGATGTGAGCCAATAATTTTAAAATCATTGGCAACTTTAATCCATAGTGGTATCAGATTAGGGAATACACCAATCGCATGTATATAAACATGTCTACCTACAAATATAGTATCATTTTGAAAAAAATTATTAAAATTGAAGTTAAATAAATTACATACTTTAAAAATTCAATTTTTTTTAATTTTAAATCTAAAATTTCAATAATTTGGATTACTATTTGATCAAGATATTTAAAATTTAATTATATATTGCTTAAAAAGAAAAAAAAATACTTAAAAAAATGATGGATTTATCTTCAAAGCGTATTTATTTATTTTTATTCAAATATAGAGATTCATTAGGATCTATTAATTTAGATTAGACCAAAACATCTATAATGGTTTGAGATATAAAAATCTAATTTAAACTAATTTGGTAGATAGACAGCAATCAGGAAAGACAATTTCTTAGAAGATATAGGAGGATAGTACCTTAGAAGACTAAAGTTTGGGATTCAGAAAAGAAAAAATATAGAATTATTGGAAGTAAGCATAAATAATTTTATAGAATGTATCATTTAATTAGAGTATTCTAGCTTTTATTAATTAAGTATTAATATATTGAATAGTTTCATTCAAGCATTATTAACACTTGATTTTTAAATGTTTTGATTAATCATAATCATCTAGAGTTTGGATTCATAAAATTCCAAAATAGAAACCACTGTTATACAATTAGAGATAATTGCTTATAACAAAAGTTTGAAATGTCAGATTTGAAAAATTTTATATCCTTTATGAGAAAATTCTAAAATGATAATATTTAATTTATCAAGAAGGATTATCAAATTTTTTAGCATGGACAACGTGAAATACTATATTTTATTTTTTTTTCAACACCTAATTATTATGCTTTCTTCTAAACTTTGATTAATTTATCTTTACTTTTCTCATAAATTATTGAAGTACTTAATTTATGTTAATCTGATAAAACTCCTGAGAATTTTTTATCTCAATACCTTTCATAAAAGAAGCAATTTGATATTTATTTACTTTATAAAATTTTAATATGAACCAAAGAATACTACTTAACAAATGCTGATAGTTAAAATAAAAAAATACTTGAAATAGTTTTCACATATTTATTAATCCATTTTAGTTTTTAAATCATCTATCTTTTAATACAATTCAATAATTTTAAATTTATTTTCTTATTGAATAAATTCCGTAACCTGAGATTCTTAACATAAACTTTTCAGATAATCTCCAATTAATATTTAAGCAATATACCTATAAAAGTTATCATTTAATTCAATCCATTTTCCAATCCTATATTCCTCTAGTTTTCTTTAATTTTATTTATATTATCTTCTCTATATATATATAACTATTACTTATTTATTATATTTAATTAAAAAGATATTTATAGAAAATATTCAAAACAATTTTAGAAAAGTGTTGAAAATTAAAAAAATTGTAAAAAGTTAAAAAAAGATCTAAAATTTTTCTTTAGTCCTATTGTTTAAAATATACACTATCGAATTTTATGATTCTTAAATATAATTATTTAATGTATTGATTATTATCTGTATTTTATTGTATTTCTAATTCATAAAATATTGATTCAAAGTTGCTAATATCTAATTTTTTTTTATTTATATCCATTTTATTGAGTTTTTAAAATAAAAAGAAACTTAAATTACCAAAATTTTGATAAAAAAATTGATTTTTTAACCATAAATATATTGTGGACATTTTGTATATTTTTATGTGATTGATCAATTCGTAATTTCATAACTTTTTTCATTTTCTATTATGAATCTCTCGAATAACCTATTTAAAGACCCTTTCCCAAAGCTTTGTGTTTGTTAGTGATTAAAACATTAAAAAAAAATACAACAATACAAATATGCCAATTTCTAATATCCCATACTATCCATATTTTATATTTCAAAAAGAATAGAGAAAGAATACAAATCGCTAACCAAATAAAATATTTAAAAGAAGATCACCCTACACAAAAAATCATTGCTTTAAATTCTTGTTCGCATTTGAAAAAATCAATTTTTAAGTTTAATTTGATAAATTAAAAAAGCTGATTCCATAAATTTCAAATCTCAAATTTTATAAAATATAATTCAATTAATCCTTTAATCATTAATAAAAGTTCTATTTATTCAAACATCTTAATCGGTTTGATTTTTTTTTGATAAATTGTTTTCTTCCAATTGGTTAGTTGAATAAGATTAATTTATTAAATTTAATCTCATGTTATATATTTATTTAATAATAATTTTTTCTTAAAATAAAGGTCATTTCAATGATGTTTAGATTATAATTTGGCATTACATATTTAGATGCACATCTTCCTCCGAGAGGCTTGCTTCAACCTGGTCTCTGGAGGAGTGTCCTTGTTACTAGTCTTTAAATTTCACCCTCTTGATTTTATTCTGATTTCCTTGATAGTCATGGTCAGCAATCGTCTCTAACCGATGTAGAACGCTACCGTCATGTTAGATGATTGGGGGAGACAGCTCCCTGAATGACCCCAATTATGAAATCATCAGTAGCAAAAGTTAATTAAAGTTTTCAAAGAATATTAAAATGTCTAAAGAAAAACAATTATCAATTTAAGAAAAAGTTAAAGAAAAACAGATAAAGATAGAATAGAAAATTAGAAAATATTCAGTTTGAGTTGAAGTCTTAAAAATTTTATAAAAGTTGCATTTGAAGAAAACTTTAAAAAAGGTATAACTTTATAGTTTTTTTGATAAATTAGAAATATTTAATTTTTATTAGAAAAATTAATTCTTTAAAAACTTATTTACCAATTTTTGACCCCTTAATTTTTAATAAATAATAAATTGCAAAGAAAAAAATATTTTTTTTTGTTAATATTAATCAAATTTATTTGGTAGTTTATTTTTTAAAAAATTTCTCCTGTAATTTTCAAAGTCTTCATTCATGATTTTCTTGAATAAATCACTTCAATTAGCTATTTTACAATTCAATTNTTATATATTTATTTAATAATAATTTTTTCTTAAAATAAAGGTCATTTCAATGATGTTTAGATTATAATTTGGCATTACATATTTAGATGCACATCTTCCTCCGAGAGGCTTGCTTCAACCTGGTCTCTGGAGGAGTGTCCTTGTTACTAGTCTTTAAATTTCACCCTCTTGATTTTATTCTGATTTCCTTGATTTTAATGGTCAGCATTTGTCCCTAACCGATGTAGAACGCTATCATCCTATTAGGGGATCGAAGGAGGCGGTTCCTTGGATGACCCAAATTATGACATCATCAGAAATAAAAGTTAATTTTTTTTACTTTTTTATTTCAATATAATATTGTTTCAAGAGTCAATAATTAATAATTTGATTTATTAAATTATTCAGAGAGGATTATTTAATGGAATAATCATTTTGATAGTTTCTTACATTATTTTTACATTTTAGAGTATTTTAAATCAATTTAGTATACTACTATAAACTCTAAAATTTAATTAATACTTTGAAAATGCTGAAAGATCTAGTTTAAATTAACCATTAAGATTACCTACAATAAACTCTTTACTGTGTTGAGATTTATTTTTCTTTATAAGAAAGCTGATTTTTAATTTTTTTCCTACTCATTAATTCTAAAATAATATTAGATAGAGCTAAGATCAAATGATCAATTCTCAATATTCTTAGCATAACAAGTATAGATATGCATATATTTATATCTTATTTCTATTTTTTTTTCTAAAATTCCAGTAACATCATCAATAAGGAGTTATCTTTGATCTAAATAAGCTTCTTTATAAATGATAAATGGATGACTTCTGTGAACTATATCATTAATATATATTATATATCAATGATGATTGCTAGGTTCGCTATGGAGGTATTAAGCAGAATTAAATGCTTTGAAATAAAGATATTTGGATTTTATTCCATTTTTTAATTATAAATTAAAGAAAAGTGATAAGAAATCGGTGAGTGCAAAATATCTGATGTTAATTTGAAAAACTCAATAACATATCATTAAAAGTTAAAGAGACCTTGATGATTTAATAATACTCGATATTTTCGCTTAATCTATTTCGACTTAACCTCTAATTAATAACACAGAATATATTGACATTGCTTTCGTTTCATCTATCAAAGATAATATGAAATAGTTTCGAACTCACTTGATTCCAGAATCATTCAATATACAAAATATTTACTTTCACTTATGTTTATAAACTCTCTTCACAAAGCCACATTTTTTTAAATAAAATATAGAAATAATTAATAATCTCTTCTAAAATAACATAAGGATTATAAGATACTTAGTTTTGATTTTTTTTATCAATTAATCTTAAAATTTTTCTTAGATATACAAATTAATTTAATTTATCTTCGATTATAATAAATAATTCAACTATTTTATATAAATCAAAATTAGAATCTTAATAACATTTCAATGTTTCTTTTAAGAATTATCAAAACTACAATCACAGTTTATTATTATATTTTAATAATAATATTCATAATTTATAAAATTATTTAATATTCTTCTTTTTCATCAAACTAATGAACAGTCTAATATTTTTATTTTAGCTTGTCTATATAGACCCACACATGGATATAATTCTTAAGATGTATCTATTCCCAAATACTAATAATCATTTTCATATTTACAACAAATGATAATTGTGGATTATTCTATCTAGTCCATTTAATATATTTATCTTCAATACTTACTTCGATTATTATTATATCATTATTTTTAAATTTAAATGATAATTCTTTACCATGTATATCTTTGTTATGATGAGAGTATATATAACCATTCTCTTTTATTAAATATGTTCTATCATACTTTATTTATATACCCATCCCCAACATTACAACAATCGTAAAAATTCTTTTACTTCATTATATCTCTAAATCCTATTCCAACAAATAGTTCTTGTTCACAAAGTATTTAAAATGCATATTGTATTTTCCCAGTTTTTGGAATGGCTTATTCACAAACACAAAAACACCAATGATTATTTCCAACTTCAGCAACAAGTTTACCCCCTTCACTTACTGAACAATTATTATGTTTATAAGTATTTGAAAAAGTTAATGATTTATTATACTATTGAATCTAAAAATAATAAATAAATCGAATACTTTTTCTAATTCCATTTTCTTTATTTTCTCTTATTCTAAGGTATCTTTATTAATTTAATCAAGTTTTCTTAATGCTTCTTGTATTTGCGAATCTTTTTAATTTAATTTTTGGTTAAAATCTTGTTTTATTTTTTTTTCTATAGATAATATGAGAATCAAATACATTCTTCTTCTGATTTTTTAATTAATAGTTTTTTATCCTATTCATATTAATTTTTCAAATTTATATTTTCTTAAGTTGCTTGATCATATTATTCTTTGACATTTTTATATTCTTTTTACTTTAATTCTAGCTTATCATTTAGTTGAATGAGTTGTTAGTCAAATGACTTTTATAATAAATTAATTTCATTAGTTTCTATTAATATTTAATAATATTACTATCAATTTCTAAATTTCTAATAGTTTCTGTCAATTTTATTAAATCATTTTCCATTTATTGTATGTTACAATACTTTTACAATTATTAATTATTATTATCAAAGATATTCTAATATTCTTTCAAAATATTAAGTAAATTTTATTATTTAGATTTTGGCTACTATTCTGATTTATTTATTTTATCATCATTCGATTTTACTTCAATATTTTATAAAATCTATTATATTTTTTAAGTATGCGATTAATAGTTTGAAATAGATTAATCAAATAAATTTAATTACAATTGATATTTTTTTGCTTAATCTATAAACTCTAAAAATTCATTTATAAAGTTATTGTAATTTTTATGATTTTCATCCTTTTAACCGCTTTTTTACATTTATTAGATAATTTCAGATAGCTGCAGAATCAGATTTTTCTCCACTATGAAATTTCATAAATTTAATACCTGAGATACCTTTGAGAATATCTAATGATTACTAAATATCTTATAGATCATATTATTTTAAAGATTCTAAATGGAATTCAATTTCTTTTGAGAATATTGAATCTTTATTTTTGTAATTTGTTATTGTTTAATTTAATTAAACTTTTTCTTTTTCCTTCTCTATCAATTATTTTAAATCTTTCAATAATTATTCATCATCTAATGTTTAAATGGAAATTTTCTTTATTTAATTTGGTTATTTTTGTTTATCTATACTTAAGAATTATTCAGAAATCACTTTATCACTTATTTCATTTAATTTTTTATTATAATTCTTTCTCATTTGAGCCAATTAGTTGATCAAATCCTATTTTTTGTCTTTACTTTCCTTTTTATACTCTTTTATTATTTTATCAGATTCTTCATTATATTCCTTCCATTATTTATTTACATTTTCAATAGTTGAATATTTAACTTATGAATTTTCAGAAATACAATCAACACAAACAAATCTATCCTCGATTTTCTTATTCTAAGATTCCATGTTAATCATAATAATTTCCTTTTTGTGAATATTACAAATTCTACTTAAACTTGGTGTTTTCTATATAACTTTATATAATTTATACAGAATCATATTTTATTGTCTATAAAGGAATTAATTCAATAATGTTATTTTCCATAACATCATTTATTATCTCTTTTGTATTCTTAAAAGTATCTATAGTAGAAAAGTATTCAGAACAATTGAATAATAATTCAAATTGTCTTTACATTTCATTTATGAAGGTAGTATCTTCATCTAATTTAGATGATTTCTATTATTCTTATGAATATAATTCTGATAATTGCTTTAAGTCATCAAAATAATTGGATTGTTAATCATAATCTTATAATTCTTATTTTTCTTTTTAAATTGAACATATATATTTTTATATTTATTTTTACATTTTATCCAAAGAATCAATAATAGATTGTTTAAAATCCATCATTTGATCTAATATGTTTTTATAATAATTGAGTCTAGCTTAAGTCTCTTTAGTTTTAATCTCTTTTTATTAAATCTTAATTTATATAATTCTTTCTTTAGATTACTCTATAGTTGTCATTTTATTATTATTTATTTTTTCAACTAAGCATTTACCACAAAAGAATTGTATCTGTGATTTATCTGATAAGTCTAAATCCACTGCAATAAATTCTAAATTGTGAATTTTACAAATTGTTTCTTGTTGTGCTTCTTATGTTTAATTTTATTTTAAGATATTCATATTTGATATTAAAATGATTAAATATTAATTATATTATTTAAACAATTAATTTTCAATAAAAAATTTTCAATAAAAAATTAATTGCTATATTCATCATAGAAATAGGACTTAAATTATATTAATAATTCAGGTTTGAAGAGATTCCATTAAAAAAGAGGGAAAAATATCCTATAAGTAGAGGAATCATAAATTCTTTTTAATGAGATGATATTTATGATTACTTAATTTTTTATTTGGCACTAGGAAAAAAATTTTGCATTTGATGTTTTATATCTATTTGTATCCAAAAACTGAATTACAATTCAAAAATAGTATATGATGAAGTTCTTTTAATATTTATTCGATTATTGCTTAAAAGAAAATAATGTTTAATTAGAAAAAATTTTACTTAGAAATCACTTTAATAAATCCATATGTGCAATCATTTTCATTTTAAAAATAAATCAAAATCAAACTTATGTCTGAAATCAAATATTTGATAAATAATCTACGACTTTCAATATAATATCTTAAATTTATTATTAAATATTAATACTCTAAGTATTAAGTTTGTTTCCTGAGGCTAATAAAAATAATAAAATATTTAATTGAAATTATAAGGTTCATTTAGTTAAAAATGTAGAATTTAAGATATATACTTTTCATCTAACAAATAATTTTATAGACTTAGTTGTGTTTTGAGCTTGAAGATAATGAAACTCATTATTAGAAAAATTCCATCCACAATAGTAATTGAAATTTGCATTTGAAAATATTTAAATTAACAATGATGAATTAATCTTATAAAGACTGCTGAAATGATTCATTTAAAAATAGACGAATGAATAAAAATTAGGTAATTATTCTAATTCAAGGATGAATCTTAATATTCTATTCTCTAGAGGAGTTAATCCTTGGTTGTATATGAAAATGTTAAGAGCTCTAATAATATTTCCATAAACTAAGTTCACTACAAGCTCTATTAAATTAATCTTTAAAAGTTAAAAATTCATTTTTTATATAAACTAATTAGTTTCAACAAAAGCTAAGATTAACTAGATTCTTCTATCTAATTAATCAAGATTAAACATAAGGATAGCTTCGCTAACAGTACTAATTTTATAGAATGGGCTTTCATAATGATCTTAATTCTCTAAAAATTGTAGTTTGTTTATTTTACATCTTTGCAAACTAAATAATCTTTTTATTATTTTCAGAAATATATATGGATATTTTTGAAATCCTTAGTTGAAATGCTTAATTGAATTTAAGTTGATCATAGTGTTTTCAAAAAAGCAAATAATATGTGGAAAGAAAAGAAGTCACTTTAAGAGAAAGAGAGCAACTTTCAAATTTGGAATTGGTAGGAGAATAATTAGACATCATAATTTAATTATAGATAATTTGAATAAACTTAATTACGTAATAAATCATTTAATACAAAAATTAAAATCAAAATATCCAATCTTAAAAAACTAAGATTTATATTGATAATGTGAAAAATTATATGAAATTTACATTTATCCCCTCATATGAATTTCTATGATGATTCAATTGAATAAAAAGATCAATGTTGTTCACTTTCATTTAATTTATCTGATTTACTCATGGTATCAGTCTTGGGTTATAACATTAAGGCATTGGATTTTGTGCATTGAATTTAGAATGAAATTGCAACTTTTAGCCTACACATTGGTACAATTACTTTTCTGTAATCTAGTAAAAGATAATAGTTTTTTATCATGTAGTTTTGAAATCAATTCTTGGAATTAAATAAATGATCAGATCAAGAGAACTTTTTAGAAGCAATATTTTAATTATATGTGAATGTTTTCATAAATTTATCATCTAATTAAGTGCCCATCTTTTTCAAAAATAATAATAAAAATTGTGAATTTCCATAAAATATAAGATCAATTTATTTATAATTATATCTAAAACTATCAGTATATAAAAATCAGTGTAAAAGAGTATAATTTTAAGAAATTAAATTTATAAGAAATATTGGTTATTGAGCAAATGAATATAGAAAGTATAACATTTTTGTTAGTGAATAAAGTGATGAAATATTTATTTACTTTTTGAAAATTAATATTTTTTAAAAAATTCAAATTGTCATTAACTAAATGATCTATTTTAGTAATTAATTTATATTATAATATCATTCATACATATATGAAAAATTGAAAAATAGATTTTTAAACAAGGTAATCACACAAAATAGCATTATATAAGGTGAAGTAATTTATAATTATAAATA